AGATAACAATACAGAAAAGTTCTTTTTCTTATATCGGGATGGATACTTGATGTTCTCACGTGGGCGAGAAACACCTCTGAAATTTCTGCTTCTTAACTTTTTTGGCCCGGAGACAGCGATTTTCTCGCCAAAAAACACTGCCACATGTCAGTACTTGAAAATTAAAAGGCCACGAAAGTTGATACTGCTGTCCTGGTCGCTTGGCCAGAAAGTACGCTGGCAAAATTTCTGCATCCAAGCTCACTTGGCGCACTGGAGGGACGCACACTGCCCACAAATACACACATACAAACATGTACACATAGATGTACACACAAATAAGCGCACACATACACAGTACGGATATTTGCAATAAGCGCTTTTTATATGCATAAATATGCAGTATCGCATAAAAATTTGTACAACATCCGATATCAGCTTGTTCGCACTTTGCCAGTAGCCATTGGACTGTGCTCTTAATTGACTGATTCAGTGAAAGAAAGATTATCAGCGAATAAGTACGTACTTTGGGTTAAATTTAAGTAGGTGGTATTTTTTAATCGACACTTTTGGCAACATTTCCACCTTTTCGATTCAGAGCTTTTATTCTTCTCTCATCTCGTTTTCCATGTTCCTCATCTGTAAAACGAGATCGGCAACGCAGCAAAACCTAAAAAATAACTTACAGCGAAAAGGTCTAGGGCATCTGCATTTAGCATATCGGTAATATCAAGGATCATACTTTCGAGCAATTTTGCTGATCTCAGTGATTGAAATAAATGCCATTTTAGGTCAGATAACGAGAGAAGGAGCTGGCATCAAATGAACTTTGTTGGCAAGTCTATGATCCGAAAAATTCGCAACTTTTTAATGTTGGTATTTATTTCATGAAGAAAAGAGTATTTTTCCACGGGTTTGGCAAATAATATCAAGAAAACAAACTGCTTGGGCGGTTAGTGTGGGTATCCTACGTTAATGATGTTATTGGATGTTAGTTCGATGTATGTGCGCCGCCTCTTCGCGCATAGCCGAATAATCGTCTTCATTCTCTGGGAAGCCGCTCACTAATGCGTAACGAATACCTGTTGCTTTCAGGGCGAGCAACATGCTTTGCCCGTTGGATTTTGCTTTCCCGACAATAACATTTCAGTTTCTATTGCGTTAATGTAAATGCACTATTGCTTCAGATACTGCATTACTCCCTCGACTTGTTCTTGCAAGCTTCATTATTATGACTGAGTAAGAAATGTAACCTTAATTCCACCTCATTCTCTCTTCCCTTCCTCTTTTCCTCTTAGCGGTACGATATCAGTAAGAAATTCAGGCCGACGAAATTCATGTCCAAGGAGCCTTCGTAGTGCATGTTTCTGTTTACCATAAATGCAATCAATATTTAAGCATTTTTTAATAATCGCAAATTCGAGATAGTGATGTTTA